GGGGGGGGGGGGGGGGGGGGGGGGGGGGGGGGGGGGGGGGGGTGACGCCACCTTTTTGAGGGGTTAAGGTCAGCGCAGCAGCCGTGATGGCGCTGCTCTAGGCGGCAAGGTGGCCGCCTGTGCTTAGGCCTCGCCTCGCCTTCCCTCCTTCAGCGGCAAAGACACGGCGCCAGTGCTCGGCCCGGCTTGGGGCCGCAGCCCTGCGGGCCTCCCTGCACCCCTCAGCCGGCCGGGGGCTCTCCTCAGCCGGCCGGGGGGCCCTGTTGCCTGGCCCGGCTCTGTTGGCGTGGGCTTCTTGACCTTGCTCTTCCCTGCTGTGGGGTCACCATCGTTGCCCTGGTACGTGTCTTTCAGCCCACAACCGCCTCAGCTGCATCCACGGGCTGCAGCGTCGATCCCGATGTTGGCAACCTGCCTTAGCGAATCCCAGCCTTGTGTCTGCCTCGCATGTATGCATGTGTGCCTGTACACAAGATCACGTCAGTAAGTTGATGCTGCATCGTGCACCGTATTTTGTGAGTCCTCAATAGCCTCGCAGCACGTTTCAGAATGTCTTGGAGGCACGTGTGTGCTGTTGCCGTCAGTTTCACTACCGTAGATGCTCCATGATCTCCCAATGTGATCATGTATTGCTGATGCTGTAAGCAGCCAGCGATGGAACATAGTAAAGCCATCTACTGCACCATGTTACAATCTAAATTTAGATAATCCACGCAACAGTGCTGGCATGTAAGGGGATGTGTTGCAAGAACATAATCACAGCATAGCTGCTGTCAAATGCAAACATTTTCTAAATGTGATTGTGTTATTGCTACATCAGATTATCATTGCCACATTATAATTGTCTTAACATTTCCTGTCCTGTGATGCCACATCACAAATGTTTGGTTTGCATTTACTAGTATGACATCACCGGAGAAGCTTGGATTGCAGCATTATCACATCACAGCGTGGTTGTGTGGTTATTCCAATCCACTATCGCAGAACGTGAACTCATCCTATGACAGCATTAAGGTTTGGTTTCCACCTAATTGAATTGGGACTAAACACAGGCAACAAGTGGCCCCTGCTGGATGCAAACTTCCTGTTCACATCAGGATATTTCTACTCGAGGAAAAACCCTCCAGCAGAACAGGTTAAATGAGATACCATACATTTGCAAGATGGAAATGTGTACCGTGAAGAAAAAGGAGAAAATGCATCTTTTCTTTTTTTCAGCAACTGTTTTAGTGGTGCTGCTTTGATTTGTTGTAGCGCACAGAAGTTATGGAGGTGGAGAAGTCTCCTTGACTACTTCTTTCTCACAAGTCTTTGTAGTTTTCATCATTGTTTCTACCCACCTGTAGAAATAATCTTCCTTATGGACTCGATCACATACTGTCTGTTTTAATGAGCCCAGCGACTGTTGTGGGGAGTGATGCCAAGAGTAATGATCTTTAGCTATTTCTGTAGGAAAGCAGCTTAGCGGGCCATATGTCATATTTCCCAGTAAATGATTGTTTTGAATTGTTTTTATACTGTAGTTTCTATTCATGAGATATTAAAGAAAATAACAGCATCTGGTTAATCAAATTCTGATTTTCAGCATATGATGATACGTATCAATCCTATTCTGCGACTTTCTTCAAAATAGATTTTTCTCTTTAAGTTCAGTGCAGGGAATTTCTCTCTGTAGGTCAGTAAGGCATCTTATAGGTGACTATTATACCTTAAAATTTTAAGGGTGCAAAGTTTATCACTGAAGAGCTAAGAAATGACAGTTTGAAGTTTAACGAGACCTGAGATCAGCTGCTGTTGCTGGAAAAGAGTTTGCATCACCCTTCTACCATGCATTTCTGAACACAAAAAGCAAATAGAGGAGGTAAGGCTTGAGCAAAGGTAGAATACTTTATCCTTGAAGGGTAGTACTTGAAGGAGCACTTGAAACTGAGATCACACCAGAAGTTGTGGAACCTGCTAGAAGGACCGGCTCCATTGTGTGCTCTGCTCAGGGCACTGTGCACAGGCACGTCTGGTACAATAGCGAAAGCACTTCCTCATCCAGTTGACTCTGACCTGATTACTTTTCAGATTTTATGCTTTTTTTAAAGAAGGTAGTAAATTAGGTCTTAAGCAGAAATTTAGCTGCCTTCTTAACTATGTTAATATGTTAATGGTTACACCATGTTCAAACACCAGAATTTAGACTAATTTCTGGCTTAAAATTATGATTTAAAAACAGGAAGAGAGTGTGCTATGTGGTGATTGTACTGAAAATTGTGTTTTATTAATAGAATATTGGAACAACTAGCCTGTGTTCCAGTCGATTGATTTTCTTTACTGTATTCACATTTGACTGCCACAGTAGCCACTTGCCTGGTCTTAGGGTTTTGACTTTGTGTCAGGAAGAGTAGGGGGTATGATCTTCATTAAATGCAGCCTACCTAAGGTATAATAAGGCTGTGTGTCAGTCGTTTCACTTTAACATCTGCAATTTTTAATTAATTTTTTTAATCTAGATACCTAGTTGCATGCACAAAAAGGGGTCTAGTTTCTCAAACGATAACCCAAAAACTGATTGTTTGTTTGTTTGTGTGCGGGTTGCCTTCAGACAGTCCCTGATATATCTCTGGAACAACAACATGTTCAGAAGTAACCTGCCCAGTTAGTCCTTTGACATTTTAGTTGTGTTTTCTCTGAAACATGAATCATGACCCCAATTAGAGATGCGGAGGGACATGAATCTGTGAGTCTTTGTAGCATGAATTTTTGTAAAATAGTTTGGAGATAGTATTTTATGTGTTTATTTTTTAATGTCTTCCAGAATATGTCCAAGATGTGCTATATATTTGAGCACCTAACTGTGGATCCAGCTACTTCACAACATTTTAAACAGCTGCATTTTGTTTATAGGTTTTCAGACATGCAATATTAACTTGCCTGTCTTACCCTTTTATCCAATCTCTTCTTCCATTTGACTCTTGACATACAAGCTATGATCTTACCTGCAGCAGGAGAAGTTATAGCTCATAGAGAAGCAAGACTTAATAACTTGAATACCTGGATTTCTTGTTCTGTCTATACTTTAAAAAACCCAGAGACATACTGAGCCATATTTCTCACCCTGTTAGACAAAGCTGGTGCCATGCTTCAACCCAGTTACAAAGACAGAAGAAACTGGAAACTATGGCTTGGTACTGTTTGCAGACTGATGCAAAAAAACCCACGGTGGTGGTCTATTTACTATAGTCTGTCACAGCTCATGTGTGGCTGGCTCAAACCTCTTCAAAACAAAAGTTTTGTCTTAATGAGCTATTGCTTACTCATTCTTTTCAGGGTTCTTCAAATTCTTGAGATATGACGACACCTAAGCCAGGGGAATACTAGGTTTTTCTGCTTTTGTTTGTATGAACACTTGTTACTTTAAAGAGTGTATACTTACTCCTACCACAGTATTTCCAAATTCGAGCATTAAAAAT